TCACGTCCAGGGAGTTGATGCCGCTGCCACCCTCCGTGAGGTAGGCCATCCCGATGTCAGAGATGTTGTCGCAGGAGCGCAGATTCAGCTGCTCCAGCTTGGGCATGCGCGCCAGGTGCTTCAACCCGCTGTCCGTCACACTGACGCAGAAGCTCAGGTTGATGGACTTCAGGGAGGTGAGGCCCTGCGCGATGTGTCCCAGCGCCTCGTCGCTTAACCTCTGACAGTCCTGCAGGCCGAGGTGCTCCAGCTGGAGGTTGCCTTCGGCCGTCTCGCGACTGAAGCCCGCCAGGTGACCGATGCCCTGGTCACTGATGTGCCAGCAGGAGCGCAGATTCAGGTGACGCAACTTCTTCAGGCCCCACGCGATCAGCAGGAGGCCAGTGTTGGTGATGTTGCAGCAGCCGCCCAGCTCCAGATTCTCAAGGTTGCGCAGATGCTGCGCGATCCGGCCTAGACTCGTGTCCGTGATCTGTTTGCAGAGCGAGAGGTCCAGCGTCTTGAGGTTGGGCAGATCCACGTTGAAGGCGTGTCCCAGGTTCATGTCCGCCACGTTGAAGCATCCGCTGAGGTTGAGCGACGTCAGCGACGGCACACCCAGCACCAGATCCTTGAGCGAGCGGCGCAGTGAGAGGATCTGCACCTTCTTGATGCCGCGCCTCACCAGACAGTTGAATAGACTGGGGCTGGAGCGCTTCAGGTGCAGCTTGGCCTCCACGCCCTTCCACACGCTCTTGGCATAGGCCGCGTCCCGCCAGGCGCTGCACACTTGGGCCGCACGGCCCAGATCCCGCACCGGCAGGTGCTCGAAGATCTGTTCGAGCAGCTCCGGGAAGAGGTTGCTGATGTGCGTGCCCTCCACTGGGGGCGGGCTCTCCGGCGAGGCGGGTCTGTGCTGGTGGTGGTGATGATGGTGATGGTGGTGCTGCGCATGGGCCGCTGCTGCTGCTGCGGCGGCAGCAGCCGCGGCTGCGTGTTGCAGGTATAGCGCCGGCGGAAGGGTCTGTAGCTGCGGGCGGTGGTGCAGTGCGTAGGGCGTGAAACGCAGCAGGTGGTGGGCGCTGCGTGTGAGGCCGGGCAGCTCAGTCTGTGGATAGAGTTCGTCCATGCCCCAGACTGGGGCGCCATTGGCTCCGCTGGGAGCGGCTCCACCCGCTGCAGCTGTGCTGCCTCCACCGCCATGATAGTTGGTGAGGGCGGCCGCGGTCTGCAGGGAAATGGTCGTCTGATGGTGGAAGGGCAGAAGCTCTGTGTTGGTGGCCATGCTCCTCGACGTCCTGCTGCTACCTCGTTCTCTTCCTCTAGCTCTTTCGCTGTTTGTTCTGTCTGCCGCAGACTCTTTGCTTTGTGGCTGGATGCAAGGTTCTATTGTGACGGGATGAATGCGTTCTATGTACGTCGCATTTTACTCGCTGCGCGACAGTTTCAAGGGAATACGACCGAAAGACGTTCTTGGGTTGCACTGGGGACTAGAACTGTAATGTTCGCGATGGTTGATTCTGGCTCTGATTCTGATTATACTGATTCACTCGTGTTGCACTCTGGCTCTGGCGACTCTTGCACTCTGACTCTAGCACTTGGGGGCCTTTGGCTTTGGCTCTGATGGTGGGTAAATCCAAATGTCGTTAGTGTTCGAGAGATCCAAGACGCGCACGCAACAACAACCGAACCGGACGACGTTGAGAGAAAAACTACGCTCGATGTGGCCGCGGCAGCGTTGCTTATAGTCAAACAGGCAGAGAGATACAATTCCCCTGTGTGCGTGAGCGTCGAGTATCTGTGTGAGCAGGCAGTCGAATTCAGCAATGGCTGACTGTGCGCTCAAGGCAGGTAGAGCGCGTTCTCTCTCTCTCTCTCATCCTCTCTCTGCCTGCAGCTGAATTGAGCGGCGACGGAGGTTTTCGGGATGTTTGGCTTGTTTACGGCTAGATTTTGTGAGCGCTTTTGTTAATATTTAAAAATTATAACCAGTGCATAAGGGATTCAATAAGAAAACAAAAAACCTTTACAACGCAACATAAAACCAAGGAACAAGTCCCACAAAATCTAACGAAACATCAACAAAACGCAGCAAAATTCGTACTGCGACTTTATTTTATGGCTTGCCAATCTTTGTCAGCACTGAAACGGGCAAGCATTTGAGAGAGCGATAAAGTCTCTCCGCTCGCATCTGTGTTAGTGGCTGTCTCTGGCTCTCTCGGGCTGAATGCTAGACCTGGCTTGGATTCATCTTGATTTTGGCCCAGGCCTGACTCTATGGTCGGGTCTGGTCCACAGATTGTGTTCAGGTTCTTCTACAGTGCGACCAGCGACGGCGCGACAGAGCTCTCAATGCCAAACTCCGACGCATTTGTTGCTGCTGCTGCTGCTTGCTGGTTTGCTGTTGCATTCCAAAGTCGAGCAGGTACCTGTCTTGCCTCTGCCTTCTGCCTTTGCATTTGCGTTGCTCTGTTTGCATGTGTGTGTGTGTGTGTGCGATCGCAGCTCGCTACCTGCGAACACAACAATACAATCCCGGTTTCCAAGAAAATATTAACGATAACTCCAAAAAATGTTGCCGCACACAAGCACAAGCAGAGACCGAGGCAGAGGCAGGCCTTCCTCGTTTTGGGATTTGGGATGATGCACAAAATCCAGCGGATGGAACAACAATAGCGGGAATGCATTGTTATTGATACTAGGAAAGCGATGCACATTCCCACTCACACAAACACACCCAGCAACATTTTCTGTGGACCTAAAAAAGGAAAACGCCGCCACCATAGTCGTCATCGCCGTAGTCGTCGTCTTCTTTGCCTTCTAAAAAAGGGACCAAGACTAGGACGAGGGTTATGCCAAGGGGTAGAGGCGTTGTGAGAATCTGTGCCGCTACCTGCATTCGCACCCCCGCACGCACAGGCAGAGAGAAAGAAAGAGCGAGAGAGAGAGAGAGAGTGAGAGCAGCATCCTGGTCTCACTGCAGAGGGAACGGTAAAAAGGAATCGCACTCTTGGGCCCTTGTTGATTTCTTGTGCGAACCTCTGTCCTTACTCTGTACTTGTACAGTCATTATCCTGGCGAGGAGGATGGCTTAGACGAAGGCAGACCCAGAAGGGCAAGGCGTGCGTACAACTTTACCAGCGCTACCTGTCCAACCGGTTTGACCCAAAAGGGCCAATCGCCCTCTATCAGTCTTTGGACGTGTCTGCCAGCAAAGTCTCTGGCAGCGCAAATAAAAATAATCTCTTCGCTGGAACTCTGGGCTCAGTCCCTCGTTTCAGCAGCCACACGGCCACTGCCTCCGTCTCAAAATATAGTGCGGCACATATAATAATCGATTGGGTTTCGGCTGCCTCTCCTTCGTCATCGCATCTTCGCTTCTCTTCTTTTTTTTGCGTTGCGTTTTGCGTACTATGATCATCATTAAAGCGGCCGCAGAGGCACACAGGTAGAGCAGCGACAGCAGCAGCGGCAACTGCAGGAAAAGGTGCAACACGCAGACGCAACTGCGGCAGGGCTGGGCCAGGGCTTGGATGTGGGCAGATGACAACGGATGGAGGGGAGGCCCACGCAGCAAGCTTGAGTCTCGGGCCAGCCCAGAAGACGCAATCTGCATAGCTACTCGTCTTGCCCACGGACAAACAGATTCAAGATACACACGTGCATCTATCACTGGAACATCTGCAGATGGCTGACATAAATGCTGCATGTTGCTCTATTTGTCGTCTAAGTACGTCGACTTAAGAACTTTATTGCACCTGATTAGGGAGAAGACGGTTAAATGGTGCAATCGTGCAGATAGGAATGGGAAATTTCAGCCTCAGGGATATTTATGTGTGTTTCCCTTAAGGTAAAGCTAAGTAAATGTTCCTCCAGAACAAGGACAACTCTTAGGATCTCGAAGATATCTTGGCATAGAGTTGCAAGTCCAAGTCACAGCTTTATGAAGAGAAGGATTAGACAGGCGCCCACAGCTGCCAGATCCACCGTCATACATATGCGCACATATCATACAGCTTGAGAGGCAGGGTTAAGGGCGAGGGTTGAGAGCATATTGTGGCACCAAAGTACTGCGGGAAAAAGCATACAAAAGGCCACCGCCATCAAGTCCAATTGATGTTATCGCCATCTCTGACCAATTTGTGGTTTGCCCGCATCTCGCTCTCTCTACCATACTGACCCCTGGCAGTGTATGTGGATGTGGATGGATGCCCAGGCGAAAGGGTGTGAGCAAGTTGGTGGCGTTGTGAGTGAGGTCGGGCATCAACAGCGGCGTCAAGCTGTGACAGATTTGTTACAGAACATCACATCATTTGCCGGCGATGGCAATCTGATGAGCCACCGCAGATATTGTTGTTGCACAGCGACCCAAAAGAAAGTGTCTCAAGTTAACCCGCAGATCATCGAAACGAATGTGTTTGGGTTGGCAGAATTCATGGACTCCACTGAACAAACGCTGCAATAAATCCACAACAGATCTCTCTTAACAGATCTTTTACAGCACAAAGAGTGAGTAGGCACTTCAGCATATCCATTCCAGACACCTAATCTTGTCTTGCATCCTTGGGCGTGTCTGCCGCTCAGCCTTAGTGGAAACGAGAAGACCACAAAGAGAGATTGTCCTCTTGGGAGCTGACACTTGTCCAGCTCTCGGAATGGCCTCTCTCATGGCAATCAGAGTGCCAGGATTGTAACTGTAAATTGAAACCGGATTGAGAGAGGTCCGTCGACCCTCAAGGGAGACCCTGCCAGCTCAAGTGCAAAGTTCCGCTGCAGCTCAAGGAGTTGCTTTTCTGGCGAAGCGTAGAGAGAGCATCCGCTTGAGAGCAGTCATAGATCAAATATTAAATAGAATACCAGGAACTAGCTGTACGTACGTACAGCAGTTATCCGTAAATGTATATGTAAAATGTTCCTTTATTGTTGATGTAATTTTAAATGCTATATGCATATATCCATGTAGATAGATATACACTCGTATTCATATGGTAAGTATATTTCAGTTTTTTGTGTGTGTTTTGTTTGCATTTAGAAGAGTTTCGTTTATGGCATTACGCATTAAAATTAAGTGTCGCTTTCGATTGGACTTCGATTTCGATTTCAATTTCAATTTCGGTTTCTTGGGGTTACGTTCTCGTATTTAAAATTGATTTATGCTATGACTTTAAAATACTCTAGAATCTAGATGCTAATTATTAAAACCCAGACCCAACTATGCTTCGTCTCTAAATATGGCTACGGAAGGGCGGTACAACTCAAAGCAAGTTGGATTCAATATATAACGTGTAGGAGTATGTATATATGTATATGCAAATGTATGTATATGTATATGTATATGTATATATATATATAATATATATGTACATGCCTCGCCGATCCGGGACGGCAAGGAAGTGAATTTGTGTGTGTGTTTTGTGTGGGGTGTGTGCGTATGCTATGGCATATTTTGATTTGATTTGATACATGCGCGGTTCTAGGTGCTATATGATCTCTATATGTACGTGTAGCTCTAATGTGTGTGTGTGTGTTTGAGTGTGTATTAAAATTTAAACGTTTCGTTGACTCAAGTCCAAATGGATATCAGTCATATCCACTTCCAATTCGGCTCTAAACACTTTTCCAACAGCCTTTTCCAATCTCAATTCAGCTCACGCTTCTTGGGCTTCTTCGAAAAAGTATTCTGGGCCTCTCTGAGCATTTCTCTCGACTTTGATGGATTTCAATTTTGATGATTTTCGTATTATCCATTTTGAATTTCTAATGTGGCGTACGTGTCTAAGGTCTAAATTATGCTATATTATCCCGTAAAAAAAACCTCACTCATGGTCTATCAATTGTGTCGTCTGTTTTCCAGCAAACATTTCTCGTTGTTCGAACTTAAAGCGAAATTAAACTAAAAACTCAAAGTTAAACTCAAAAATGCGTAAATTCACAATTAAAAAACAAAAAGGGGTTTAAAATACTATACTGGGGGGTTTATATCACAGGTACATTTTAGACTTTTACTTTTTTCAAAATGCAAAGATTGTAGAAAATGTATGTCATGGAGGAGGATGAGGAAAACCGGGGTGGGTGGGGGTGCAGCTGTAGCTAAGTTAGCCGCGTGCAGGTCCTACTAAAGTTGGCTAAATGCTTATACTTATATAAGTTGTAGTGTTGTGTTAGTGTTGTGTGTTCGTGTGTAGTTTAGTTTGTATATCTATTATCTATATATATATATTCACTGGGTCAAGTCACCACCATATTTGTGAAGTAAATTACTGTTTGTTGTTTTTTTTTTCCTTTTATAGAAAAGCACTAACCATTAAACATTGCAACTGCCGTCTCACTTTTCCTGCCTCGGCACTCCTCCACTTAGTTCTTCTCCGCTAATCCTCATCACAAGTCCGAGGCGGAGACAAGTAGTATTCGATTGTGATCGTAGATATGAAAGAGTTTTGAATACATGTACTAAATCGTAGTCAGTATCAGTAGCGTAATCGTTAACGTATTCTCGTATCAAAGCCTATGACTAGGACCAAAAACATGCTGTACATTCTCCATGCACTCTATGCACTCTGCTGGTTCTAACTACATCTTTGAGTCCTCTACTCAGACTCAGTTGTGTACTTGTATGGCCTGATCTGTTTTCTGTTTCCACTTGCTCAATTTGTTCTCTTGAGTACATATTTCTTAAAGATCTGTTTCACACTGAGATGGGTTCTGAACTCTATTCTGGCGCTTAATCCTATCTGAAGCAAATATCTCTATCGTACAGCACTCGTAACTATCTCTTAAGTACATTATTCATTTTGATGAAGGGAAATTCTAGGGTGCTAGAAGGTGGGGGAGTGATGATGCTGGGGAGCATTGTGCTTTTCTATGAGTGTGTCTAGGCTTTATGGATGTAGTAATGGAAAATTCGTAATTGCTAAAGCTGCACAATGCTCCCATGATTGTGGCTGTATATGTGATGAGTGCGTGCGTGTGTGTCGTGTGTTTCTGTATGATCTGGCAGTCGTACGTATTTGTTTCCATTGGCGTAGTCATAGTCGTTGAAGTATTCGATAGAGTAGTGGGGGAAATTATGGCGCAGAAACTTTGAGTTTGTCCACGCGGCTCGCCGCCGGCTCGAGGACTGTGGCGTAGCCGCTGACTAAGTTCGATATGAATGAAGAGTTAGACTAGATGCTATTTAATACTAATCCACCATCGGGGGGGTGGGGAATGGCACTGCCTCCACATACCGTCTCCCCATGATGACTCGTTGGGAAGGGTGGGCGTCACAGCTAGTTCCGCTTTAAGTATTCTTAGTGGCAGTCATGTGCCGGGTAGCTGGCCCGCCTGCATCGGCGTACAGGCAGGAGCCCTCGCTGCAGGAGCAGGTGTCGCCCTCCCGGGAACTGTTGCAGCAGTCGCTCGTGTAGCTGCGCTCGTGCAGCTCATAGTCCACCAGCATGTTATCGTTCTCGTTCTCGTTCTCACTCTCCAGGCAGGGTTGCACCATGGCATGACGACGGTGGCCCGAGCGCTTGCCACTGCTGTGCTCCTCCGCCAGCAGCTGTCGCTTGTGGCTGTGCGAGGCTCGCGAGTTATCCGAGCACTCGGAGGAGCACTGGTAGATCTGGTGACTGGAGCTGGTCGACTGCATCGGATGTACCTGTGGCTGGGGATGCATCGGCTGGTACCAGCCCTCTGGGGCCGGAGCCGGCGGCGGCGGCTGCATGGGTGAGGTCAGGGCATCGCAGCTGGAGCAGGATCGATTCTGGTTGCAGCGCGAGGCATTCAGGCCCGCCTGGTACTCGCTTACGGCATGGCGCTGCGCGGGGAACTGAATGTGCGTCGGTGGACCTCCGCCAGGTGTCGCAGTGGCAAAGTAGGCCGGCAGCTGCGGTGGATGCTGGTTGGTGGGTGTAATCTGGTAGCGATTCTGGGCGCTTCCCACTGCTGACAGGGGATTGGTGTACACGTTGTCATGGGGGCAGCTGGGTGCGAATTGTGGAGAAACGCCCCAGGCTGAGAAGCCGCCGGAAGAGCTGCTGTGAATGGAGGCGTTCAGGATGCTACAAGCAAGGTGGAGTGGAGTCTTGGTGAGTTTAGTTTATGGCTGGAGATGCGACTCTTTACCTTTGGTTTGTGGAAATGCCAGAGCCTCCGCTCTTGGAGCTCTTGCGCGAGGACTCCGGTGAGCCCTGGGCATAGCCGTAGGTGGAAGATGGTGGCGGATGCTCTGGCGGTGGTGGCAAAAACTCGGACCAGTTGATGGGCTCCACTGGGTACTGCAGATAATTCGACTTCGAAGAGGGAGCGACCGCGCCCTGTGCACCAAAGGCATCCGAGTAGGGGGAATGTGTGCCCGAGTCCTTGTCGGCGCTCAGGCAGGTGGGCTTCGTGCAGGTCTCACCCGAAGAGGTGCCAATGATCATGGTGGTGGCATAGGGCGTGGGATTATCAGGGCTCTGTCAAAGATTACACACGAATTAGCTGGACATTCGTCGGTATACATGAGGGACTCACCTTGCGGCAGTTGTAGAAGGTTGTCAGGTTGCGGGTATCCACTTCGGCATAGTCGGTTCCTGCATCGGAGTTGTTGTAGTTGGACTGGCTGCTGTTGACGTGGGAGAGCAGCTTGGACTCGCTCAGTCCCGAGTCCTTGTCGGTGTCTGACGGTCGCCAGTTGCGATCAATCCACAGACTTTCCTTGCTATTGATATTTAGGGCAGTGATTTCGTTGTCGCTTACAACTGGAAATGGAGATGAGTGTGAGTGCGAGTTGGAGGAGACGGCAGACAGGAGTCTTACCACTGAGATGGCCCAGATCTTTGGTCATCTGATGCCTGCGCTTGAAGTAGACCATGGCTAAGGCAGCGGAGATAAACACGACAAGGAGTACAGTGACAACCATGACCATTAGCCAGATGCTAGGCAGATAATCCGAGGATGTTCTGTGCGTGGTGGGATGCGTGTCGCTGCTGGGCTGAATACCAGCCATTCCGTTGTGGTAGGTGATCTCCTGACCATCCTGGTGCCAGCCATCGTGACTGCCGCTGGGATGAGCACGCGGCGGATGCACATGATGCGTGGGATCCATGAACAGCGAGACCTACAAGCAGTAAATTAGCTAAAGAATCCAACTCTGAGAGTAAAGTTTGGCACTTACCGGCTTGGAGTAGGGCCCATCGCCTGCCTTGGTGAAGCAGTTCAGACGCACACTGTAGACGGCGCCGGTGGTGAGGTTATTCAGCAGCACCGATGTGGTGGTGGAATTGAGCGTCATGTTGGCAAGCACCTTCAGGGTGTTGCCGGCGCTCACTTCGATTTTGTAGCCATACAGATTGCCATTGTGGTGCTGGGCAGGCGGTGGTGTCCAACGCACCCATCCAGCTGTTTGGTTATACATTCCGATCTGTATTCTATCTGGCGGTGCAGAGGGAACTAAGGCAAAGAGCGAGAATAGATCAGTGGGGAGTTCGAACGTTGGCTGGCTGAATGCTTACCATCTTCGTAAGTGATGGCCATCTTGGAGTTGCTGGGCTGTCCCTCGATGGTCTCGAAGAAGGGAGTCAGAAAGAACTCGTATTTAGTGTACTTCTTCAGATTTCCCACGACAAACGATTCCACCGAGGTATCCATGAGAGTGATGGAATGATACTGCGCGCTGTGGGAGTGTCCTGTGTCCCTGTAGTGAAGTCGCAGACCCTGGAAATGGCAAAGAATTAGCTGAGGGGCACACATCAAATTAATAGCCAATGGCACATACCTCCACATATTTCTCGTCGGCGCTCACATGCAGCATCCAGTCTAGACGCACGGCACTGGCATTGATGGGCGAGGCATCTATCAGCTCCACAGACTGCAAACCAAAAGACCAAAAGTTAGCCGAGAGTTGTGAATCCTCTGCAGCACTTACCTTTCTGGTGAGCAGAGTTCGAGCTGCCGACAAGTCATTGGCCGAGGCAGTGTCAAAGTCCTCGCCAATTGTTTTGATGGCATTCGAAAGCCCCGAGGGCACGGACACGCCCTGGCTGTTCTCAGCACGCACCAGGAACACATACGAAGTGGCTGGCGTCAAATCCGATATCTGCAGTGCATAAATTAAACGTTTAGTCACCGAAAATAGTTTGATTTGAGGGTGAAACCTACAGTGGCTTGAGTATCGGCCACACGATGTGCAGCCACAATCCAACCCGTTTGCAATTCCGGACTAAAGTACTCCACAGTGTAGCTGCGAGAGAGAGATTGAGAGACGAAACAATTGCATAAATAATCCGCACTGTTATCATCTGCCATAATCTTACCCAATAATCGGACCGACGGCGCCAGGCTTCTCTTGGCTCTTGGCCCAACGCAGCGAGATGCTGCTGTGGCTGGCATTCAGCACTTTCGGGGTGCCAGGTGGAGCCGGATATGTGCTTGGGTCAGCTGCCCGATGCAGTGATGTGGCGCCTGATTTCTCAACCTAGCAAAGGAAAGCAGTAGAGTGTCAGTTGTGAGGGTAACTATAAGAACGCAAGCTTCCAACTCACCGTAAGCGTTGCTGACCAGGAGGTCTCGCCACGTTCCGAGGAGGCAGTGCATGTATAGACTCCAGTGTCGCCCAATTGGAGATCTATTATCATTGCAAGCATCCAATTAGTCTCTCTTCGAATAAGAATAGCAAAGAACACTCACCATCGATTCGCAGAGAGCTGCCTTGGTTGATGCTGTGCCGATTGCCTGGCTGCACGGCATAGCCATTGTGGAACCATTTGATACGTGGATTGGGCGTGCCTGTGGCACGGCAGGGCAGTGTCGCCACAGATCCCTTCGACAAGGTCTGATTGGCGGGACCTATTTGGATGATGGGCGGCGGACGCTCATCTACCGAGCTGACCTGTAGGAAAATGCGCACCGTGGAGGAATCCACCACACTGAACGCGGAGCACACGTAGAAGCCCTCGTCATCCTGCTGCACATCGCTGATCTGTAGCGTTCCCTCCGACGAGACATGTTGCCTACCGTGCGAGCTGTTGGGGAACATCAGCGTGGATACACCCTCTTTGGTCCAGAATACCGACGGCGGAGGATTGCCAGCGGCCATGCAGGGAAACTGAACAACTCCATTGAGGCCCACTTTCTTATTGCTGGGCTTCCGAGTGAACGTTGGAGGAGCTAATGGAACAAAGGAATCGACAGATTAGAGATGTGGTTGAACCATATGGTTGGGCAATAGTCTTACCGTGTACGGTGAGCGATGCTCTGGCGCTTATCTGACCCACATTGTTGTGCGCCTCGCAGACATAGGTGCCCTCATCGCTGGGCGAAATGTTGCTCAGCTCCAGACTCTTCTCGTCGTGCAGGATGCGAGCCCGGGACACGGGTATGTTGCCCTCCTCCTTCTTCCAGAGCACCTTTGGCGGCGGATCACCGCCCACGGAGCAGTGGAAGGTGGCCGTTTGGCCGTAGAGCATCACCTGATCCTTGGGCTCCTTCATGAAGTACGGCTTGACCTGTACAATCAGCTTGGCGTAGCTGGACTCTCTCGTGCCAACCAGATTCTGGGCAATGCACTTGTAGTTGCCCTCGTCGATGGGCTCCACATTGCTTATTAACAGATTGCCACCATCGACAATACGCACGCGAGAGCTGGCGCCGAACGACATGGCTTTCAGGTCATCCAGGGGGACGCCATCCTACGGGAGAGGCAGCGGATTAATATTTGTATGAATTTTTGGTTGATGTAAGTGATTGGTTTGTCTGGGTCTTACCTTCATCCAAATGAGAGTTGGCTCTGGAATGCCTTTGGGCGGCCCACACTCGAGCAGCGCTGTCTCGCCTTTGGCCACGCGCGTGTCTTTGGGCTCCACGCGAAAATCATCGCGCAGAACTGGCAGAAAAGAAAAAAGAGCATAAGCACAGGCAACAGAGATTAGTTGTGTGGGCAGACAAGTTGTCGTGAGTTGATTGGACTTACCAGCTATTTGGAGCGAGGCATGTCGACTAACGGCCTGGCCCACACGGTTCTTGGCCACACACCAGTACTCGCCGCCGTCCTGCTCCTTCTTGCCCTGCATCGTGCGGTAGAAGAACAAGGCGCCATCCTTGAACTGAACGCGATGCGATTTCTTTTCATTGGTGCTGACGGGTTCGCCGTCCTAGCGTGACGAAAAGCCAAAAAGGAGAAAGTTGAGAGATTAAATTGAAAGCCAATGACCAGCATCCTAACTTACCTTGAACCACTCGATGGTGGGCTCGGGCTTGCCCTCCACCTTGCAGTTGAGCGTCGCTGGCTCATTCTTCTTCACCACCAGATCCGTGGGATGTTCGATAATGCGTGGCGACAGATATTGGGCTGCAAATGGAAGAGGGGAATCCAAGAGATGTGTGAGATGGTGATGAGGGAACTGTGCACTTGGGGTTTACCTATGACTGCCGGCGGCGTCACCAGACCGAGCAGCAGCAGAAGAAGTATCATCCTACTCCCCCTGCTGCCCCACTGGGTTATGCTGGATGATGGTGGATGAGTTGGAGAGTTGTTAGTGCTCGTGCTCCGGGTGATGGCGATGTCGATGGCGATGCTAAGACGATGTGGTCGATGCATAGGATATTATTCGGTGACAGCGACAGTGCGTGGAGAGCAGATACACTTATTTTGCGGAGTAGATGATGCGAGTACGGCTGGCGACAACCATTTTAGCAGTATGTGTGTAGCCTGCGATACGGGATTATGAAATGTGGGCAGCTGTTAGTTTTGGCCAGGCTTAGAAGAGCACATTGCAGGGGGGATACGCATGGGGAGACATGAGGAATGTGCTTGGTGGGAGTGCACGAAAGGCAGGCGTGGCGGCGGCATGGTGTGGCGTCGCAAGCCCCCTCCCCCACCCAAAGCATTACAAGGGTTTACCTTTCGATACGATTCGGTTTTTATCTTCCGAAATTATTCTTCTTCGTCTGTGCTCCAATTCCATTCACATTTCCCTCCCGAGATAAGCACTTCACTCACGTACACACACGCACAACCAATAAAACATGTACACATAAGAATGTAGTATGTGTGTCGTGTCGTATATACCTCCTCCCACATGCATATGGTCTAGCTATGCTTTTCCATTAATTTTATTTCTGTATTTATCTCTCTCTTTGTGTTTATCTCTCTTAGGCGGCAGACAGCCAGCGGTGGCGGCGGCGACGTAAATTTACAATCCAAATTCTGATTTCATTTGACTCTCCGATTCTCACACTTTCTTTATAACGTTTAATCGTTGCGTTTTATTATTATTTATTTACTGTTTTAGTTTTATATTCTGCTTGTATGCATGGATGCTATTTATTTGTCGATGGTACTCTCCTCTCTACCAGTTTTCATTGACGCTTCCTTTTTGGGGTTGTTTCTCCGCTCGCGCACATTTTCCACATTTCCCGAACGAAATTTCTTCTGGGTAATTTTACAAGAACAAGAACACGCAGCCCGTACGTCCCCCCGCTCATCTATTACAACTCACCCCCTCCTATCAATTGCCTGCTGTTCCCCGTTCCATCCCGTTACAGCGCTTGTTGTTGTATCTATAACAGTGTTGTATCTATAGCTCACACTCCCGTCCCGCGGGCAGTAAAAAACTTGCATCTGCAATTTACATGCAAACGACAGACCGCCTTCGGTGCATATATAATGTCCTGTCTTTTTTGATGGATCCCACCACTAGTGCACTCAACTTACTTTAATTTATAGCCAGGAATAACCGTTTTCATTTAATGACAATAACTAGACAGTGTGACCGCTCATAAGTCGATGGAATATACCGACAGACCCTCGGAAATATACCAAAATATAATAATCATTTCATAAATATACCTCAATAAACCATAATCTTAAATAGTATTCCTTGATTTTGATGTTCTATTTGATTGTACTAGCTTGGAAACACTTTTAACACTGAAACAATAATTTAAACTAATTGAAGAATCAATTTGGCTTATTATAAATAATCTTTTTATTGCATTGTATTTCCCAATGACCTTATTTTTACAACATTTTTATTTGACTTTTTTTTGTTCAAGTCACCCCTACTGGAAGGAAGGGAGCTTTGTGTTCAGTATGTAAATGTATGTAACATGTAGAGACCGTGTATGTTAACTGATAACATTGAAGCATTTAAACTTTTCAGCACATTTTTGTCAGCGTTTGCTGACAACGAACTTTTTTCACTGATCCGGCAGCACAGTGTGCTGCCTGTTTACACTTGTTGTTGTATAGTGCGTCACTGCGATTTTTCGACACGAAGTCTTATTTAAGTGGTATAAAATAGTTTGCAAAACTAAGAAAAGGACTGTGTAAAAGCTTCAAGCTTAAAGTTATCTTGCAGCTGGAAACTGCAATTTTTGTTCATTGCGTCTGCTGGAACGCCTGGAAGTGTAACATGCCACTGGAAATTTATTCACTGATCTGGCCACGCGATTTATCTCTTTTCACTGATCTAGCAGCGCGGTTTATTTAACTTTAAATTTCAATTTGAAAATATCCTCAGGTTTGAATTTTGCATTGCAGATTTGAGAAGATTACAAAGCACCTGGTAAAATCCAGTCAATGCGACGATTTCTGTTTGGATGTGCACCGAGTGCGGGCTTTCCTCTGCTCCTCCCGTTTTGTGTCGTAATCCTGGAGCATTTTTCGCAGATAGCATCTGCAAAAGGACTTGGTCAAATCGTCGATTCGGGGTGGAAATGGACAGCAAATGCGTCCATTCTTTATCGGCACGAGTATCTTCAAGAAATCCGGCCTGACGGTACACAAGATCTTCAGAAAGACCATGTCACTGTTCCCTTGCAGCGGCGGCTTCGTGCCAAAGCGTTTTGTAATATTCCGAAAGCACAGCATCTCGGTGGGTGGAGGTGCTCGAAAGGGGGAAAAACTAAACTGAACTAAACTGAAAAACCTGACAGCAAAATCTAGGAATTCCGCTCCATTCTGGCTAGCTCGGGTCGTCCCCTGGCCAGGTGCCGGGATCTCACCGCATTGGAGAGGTTCGCCTCGAAGGCGGCCACGCGAACACGCCCGGGGTGGATTGTTGGAGGAGTGGGCAGTGGCGGACGTCGGCCAGCTGGCAGCGCGCTCTTCACCTGCTTGGGCTGCAGCTGTAGGCGTGTGACGCGATCCACGGACATGCTCTTGGGCCGCCGGCAGAGGTAGTCGTGCACGTGGCTGTTGGAGCCATTGCTGATGTTCAGGTTTACCAAATAATCCTGCAGCTCCGCCTTTAGCTGGCTGTTGGATGCCTCCAGGCGTTTCTTTTGCTGCTTCAGGCAGGCCACGTCCACGGCCACATTGTTGACGCGACGCCAAAAGGTGTCCATTTCGGGCACCACTCCGATTTCCTCCCTGAGCTGATCGGTGGCTGCATCGGATTGCTCTTTCAATTCACGAATCTCTATGATCTCCCGCGACAACTCGGGCAGGAGGAACATCTTCTCGCGTTGGGTCTCCATCTTAGCACAGACGGCAGACAGTTGGACCAGAGTGTCGCCATGGCTGACGATGCCCTGGAGCGTCTCCAGCGCATTGTAACTCTCGACGGACATCAGCTTGAAGGTCTGATGATCGCGTGCCACCTCCTGCTCCACGCAGGTGCGCAGCTCCCGCAGCCGCTCCGTCAGCTGCTGCTTGATGGCCTGCCGCTGCTCCAGCTGCGCCTGCTGCTTGACCTGAAACTCCTCCGAGACGAGCCGCAGGTTGGCCAGCTGGTCAATCAGATGCTCAATGTCGTAGGTCTGTTGGCTGATCTGCAGGGCAGCCTCCTCGTCGCGCTGCTTCAGATCCACGTACTCCGAGTAGAAGCCTTCGATGTGCTGGCAGTAGCCAGCGAGCACCGATTGATAGTCCTGCCAGAGCCGCTCCAGCTTCGCCTCGCCCCTGCTGGTGATTTGCTCCAGCTGCAGTTGCATCTGAAAAGTGAATGGATGGATGGATGGATGGATGATTGATGGCTGCCTTTGTTGTGTGTCAGTGTGTCAGTGGGCAGGCATTTAGGCTGTCACTCCAGGGGAGCTATAAATGGAGCTGCTCGGCCATTTGTGCATCCAGTAACCGCGATGATGTTCTGGCTGCTGATTCTGTTCTGCCTCTGCTCTGTGGACTGCCTCAAGTGCCGCTCCCAGGAGGGACACGGCGAGCAGGAGCTCAAAAGGGTTGTGCGCAGCTGCATGCACCGCAGTGGCAGCAACAGCAATGGGAACGGGAATGGGAATGGCAATGGACAGGACGACAGCGAGGACAACAATCGAGGCTATGGGCGGCAGGTGCATCGCTATGACTATGGCCAGGAGCAGGATGGCCGCTCGAGCAACGGCTACAGATGGCAGCGCAGCTTGAAGCAGTCAGAGAACAGAAACAGCTCCGAGGGCGAGGGCGGGCAGTGTGTGGCGCAGTGCTTCTTCGAGGAGATGAATATGGTAGGTCCCAGAACACTCCTAATGTATTTGAACCCATGCATCCTGTGCCCCTAGGCCGACTCCAATGGCCTGCCCGATCGTCGCAAAGTCAGCTACATGCTGACCAAGGATCTGCGGGATCGGGAGCTGCGCAACTTCTTCATGGACACGGTGCAGCAGTGTTTCCGCTACCTGGAGAACGGACGCAGCAGCCGGAGCAGCAGCAACAAGTGCGCGCAGGCCAGGGATCTGGTCAAGTGCATGTCGGAGTACGCCAAGGCGCAGTGCGATGACTGGGAGGAGTACGGCAGTTTGCTCTTCAACTAGGACAACTTACGCCGCTCTTGAGATCCTCACAGCGCGCCAGGAAACGCTCGTGATTGTCCTTGATCTCCCGATCGGTTGTCTCCTCCACCTGATAGAACACGCACTCCAGTTCCTGCTGCTTCTGCTCGTGCATGGCCCGAAAGCCGGCGGAGTCCAGCTCCCACTCACCCAGCACCGCCTGCTTGTCCTCCTCGTAGATGCTTCTAAAGAACTCCAGCCGACTGCGGTGGATGCCTAGAATAGACTTAGGGTTTTGGCTATCTATTACGAAATATATTAAACGAGTCTCACCAATGATGCCGCTGATGTTCTCCATGTGCGACTGCTGCAGGTTCGCGTACATGTCCTCCGCGGAGCCAATGTGCGCGATGAGCCGCTGTATGACATTGTCCTTGCGCTTCAGCGCCTCCTTGAAGAACGCCTCCACGTCGACGATTTCACGGCGCAGCTCCTGTATCTTCACCTGGCGGAGTATGCTGCGCCACTCCTGATTGATTTTGGCCATGTTGAGACGCCCAAAGGCATCCTCGCGTTTGAGTTTGTTCTACAAATAGGGGGGATAGTTAGTAGATAGTTAGACAGTCAGAGTCCTGCTGGTTGTGGTATCTCCCGTTGTACCTTCATGTACATCGATATGAGCTGCATTTTCCGCCTTCTCGTCTCCTCCTCGGCATCCGCACGCATTTGCAGGTAGCGCGCTCGCTCCTCCTCTGACATCTTGGCCAGCTTGTTGCCTTTTCCTTTGCCCTTTTTGCCCATCGTCAAGTGTTTTTTTTTAGTGCCCTTCTAAACGTTTGTTCCCAAATCAGCTTATCGAATTACAACGGCCAATTCCCGACTAATCGTGCGAGCAAAAAGCAAAAGCCTCGACCCGCCCCGTCTCGCAAAGTTAATAATAAATTTGCGTGTCGCCATGGCACGCTCTCCTAGCCCCTTCCGCTGCCTGTTGTCAGGTTTTTGTTGCCATAATAATGTGCCCCCAAATCAACTTAATGTCAGAGCATTGCGGGTGCCATTAGAGCTGTCCATCAAAGGGGAACGGGGGCGAGTATAAAGCGGGCACGAGGCGGCACGCGGCAGCGATTCAGTTGTCAAAAATGTTGAGGGCAAGCTTTGTGCTCTGTGTGGCGCTGGCACAGCTGCTGGTGGGAACAGACAACATCCAAATAGATCGAGTTATTCATTCCTTTCCTCTGCAGCAGAGTGTCCCTGCAGTTCGCGTCCATTGCCGGCATGTGGAGCGCATCCACGAGGATCACATCCACTACTGCTGCAAGCATCCGGATGGGCACGACGAGGTGACGGAGATGTGCGCCAAGCAGACCAATTTCCGACTACCCTCCACCCAGGAGGAGGCCATGGAGGATGTCACCGTGGACCAGGTCATGTCGGGCACCTGCTGGGGCAAGTGCGTCTTCGACCACTACAAGCTGATGGATGCCAACGGCACGCTGGACATGATTGCCGTTCGCTCGCACTACAAGCAGTACCACAAATCGGATCCCGAATACGAGACGGAAATGCTGAATGCCTTCCAGAAGTGTCACTCGAATAGTGAGTAGCAGTTTGAGCCGGTAGAAAGTCCTTCAACTAATCCTCCTTCCCTTCACAGCTGAGGATGCCACATCGCAGTTTCTGTCGCTGCCCATTGTGCGCGCCTTTGCCACGGGAAAGTTTTGCAAGCCCGCCTCCAGCGTGATCCTCTCCTGCGTCATTTACAACTTCTTCCACAGCTGCCCCAAGAGCCGCTGGTCGAACTCCACGGAATGCGAGGAGACGCGCGCCTTTGCCAACAAGTGCAAGGATGTGCTGACCACAATGTGAGTCAAGTGAGGAAGTCAAATTCCCTTTTATTGCTGCTAAATTTGTATTGGAGGGGAGAATCATTCAAATATATTTGATATTGAAAGGCAAGCCTTAGAAGAGCGATCATTTGATATGGGCAAGGGTTTTCCTGTAACTTTTCAGAGCTGGATTGGGTTCTCCTCCTCCTCCGACAGCAGTGCTGTCGTCAGTGTCTCGATGTGTCTCTACTCTGCTGAGACTCAGAGTCTTAGCTTATGCTCCTGCAGCGGTTTATTTCTAGCAGAAATCTGCCAAAGATCTATGAAATATCTTGCAACCTCAATTAGAATATTCGCACTTTATTTATTCATCTTTAACCCACTGCCAGACACGTTTAGAGCGTGGCCAAAGCGTCGTGGCACTTCTTGCTGAATGCCAAAGTGTCCTCGCACTCCTGCGTCTTGGACCAACGATCGGCGGGGCAATTGTGGAAGAACTGACGAATGACGCAGGCCAGGACCACGCTCGACTTGGGCTCACAGAACTGATGGGACATCTGGCGGAAGATGGGCTTGGACAGGAACTTGGAAGTGTTTTCCTCGCCTGAAATGAAGGTATGTCAAAGGTGTAGCTGGAGGCTAAATCCCCGCTACTCACTCTTCCCGTGACAATGATCAAAGGCGTTAATCATTTCCTTGGCATACTCCGGATCGTCGGCAAACTTGGAGCCGAAGTATTTGCGCACCGCCTCCATGTCCACCTGCTCGTCCTTGATGAAGTTCAGGCTGCCAAAGACACACTTGCCGAAGCAGGTGCCACGTATGGCCCGATCCGCTGTGATGTCCACCATTGCCTCCTCCGTCTGGCTGGGCAGCTGGAAGCCCGTCTCCTTGGCGCACTTCTCGATGAGGTCGTTGTGGCCGTCGGGATGCTTGCAGCAACAGTGGATGTGCTCCTCATTGATGGCCTCTGGGTTCTCGCAGTCAATGCTGAGGGCATGGGAGCACTGAAAAGGGAACCTGGGGAGTTGCTTATGGGAGAGTCTTTGATTATTCAATTCTTACCCAGAACAGGCAGCTGAAAGTCAACAGAACTATGGGCTGCATGGTGCGACTTCTACTGATGGAATCTGCGGACTACGAATCGCTTTTATAGAGCATTGATCGGGATGGAGGAAATGGTCACCCATCCAATGGTTCCCCTCATTGCACTTGTTCCCATTTCAAGTCTCATTTGTTACATTTAATTAAGCAATCGAATTACGCGGCCAATTAGACAAAGAAATGAGTTCAGCGGATGTTATAAATCCACCAAGTAGCGCCCAAAGCGCTTCCATTTAAGGCACGATGGTTAACCCAATGAGTTGTTCCTGGCTGGCGCTGCTCCTGCTGGCCAGAGTCGTGGTGCGGGCACAGGACTCTGAGGAGTCCACCAGCATAGAGATATCCAGTTCCAGTTCCAGTTCCAGTTCCAGCGAGGATTTGACCGAGGAAAAGTGCGCCAAGGAGGTGAGCAGTGAGAGCTGAAAGTTTGCCCTCGAATTTACCATTCCTCAAACAGCGCAAAGGCTGCTGCTCGGAGCTGTACATTGGGGAGGAGGAGGATCTGGTCAAATGCTTCACCATACACTCCTCGAAGCTGCCACCCGATGGCGACGGCGATGTGGGCAAGACGCTGAGATTTCTATCGGTTTGTGGACAACAAAGACAAAGACAAAGACAAAGACATAGAAGACATATCTCGATGGTTTGAATTGCTTTTTCAGTGCTTTGTGGAGTGCCTCTACAAGCAGAAGAAATACATCGGGAAGAGCGACACAATCAACATGAAAATGGTCAAGCTGGATGCGGAGAGCACATACGCGGAGCGACCCAAGGAGCGGGACTATCACATTGCCATGTTGGACCACTGCCGCAAGGATGCGGTGGGAATTTACAATCTACTGAAGGCCAGTCCGGGGGCCAAGGCGCTGCTGAAGAACGCCTGTCGACCGTACCTGCTGATGGTGTTCCTCTGCCAGAGCGACTACCACCAGAAGCACCAGTGTCCCTACTTCCGCTGGGAGGGCAGCGACAAGGCAGGCACCAAGGACAGCTGCGAAGAGGCCAGGGACAAGTGCTATCACATCGAGGGGATAGCCAGTCCAACAACCAGTTCGCTCTGAGATATTTGTCTTCTTTTTGGTTGAATAAAACACAAACAGATTCCACACAAAGTTACAGCAGATCCGATAGCCGATCCACTCCATGGATTATCTCGTGCGCACTGCGGACCTTGACGACTTGGATGCCATCAACACGCTCATCCACTCACCCACTGTCAAGTGGTTCGGCAACATACGTCCGAAGTATGCGGAGAAGACGAAGCTGTTTAAGTGCTACCAAACCTATCGCATGGTGGTGATCCATAGACCCACAGCTGCGAGGATTGCCTATGCGGAGTTCCGCAATTATCCCTCGATCGATGCGCTGCCCAGCGACTGTTGGCCCGAGTGGCTGTCCGTTAGATATTGGTAGGTGCAGGAACCATTTGCGGGGTTCCCTCAACTAATTGTGGATCCCCTTAGTCTGTCCATGCCTCTCAGCCTGCTCAACACAATGTTCTTTAACTTTTGTGTCTACAAAAGCGAAAACGGCGACGCCGTGGCGAGCATTTTGAGGGACATTTTGTACAGAGAGAATCGCGTGTGGTACATCATTACAGTGAAGAGTCCGAAGATACCACAGCCCACGCACTATGCGGAGACATTCACGGATTTGGAGCAGTATGCGGACATCTACTATCCCAGAGAGTTCTCCATCGAGAACAACTTCAATACGCAGGCGCTGTATGTCGTCTATCGGCTCAAGCTGCTGCCAAAGATCACCTACCGCCGGGCACTGTAAGACAGCACCACTTACTGTCTCCCTTACTGTGTCCTAATCTCTGTGTCGCAGGCCCGAGGACAACGATGACATTGTGGCCATCCACGAGTACGAATATCCCGAGCTGCGCGCCGAGCTGGGAGACTTTTACATAGCCGAGGAGATCCTGCGCACGGACAGTGGCAGGCAGAAGAGTTTCCTCATCGTCGCAGAGACGGAGAACGAGTGCCAGCAGACCGAAACTGCAGTCTTCATTTGGCTATCCACGGACATAGACATTCGCTTCTATGTGACGAACTACGAGCTGGAATCGTTTGGCAATCTGGTCAAGACGGTCGAGGAGGGTCAGTCGATTCATGTGGAGACCTTCAATGTGTCGTAAGTTAGCGCTCGGGATTGAGTATCCTCTTTATAGCTGCTGCCCCCCCCCCACAGCTCTGTGCAGCCCAAGAGCGCCGCCTGTCTGTTCACCTCCGATGCTCTGGATGATCTGGATGCCATGACCATTCTGGGCGGTCTGCAAAAGAACGACAGCAGCCTGAGGTACGGATAATTATCGGCATTGACTGAGTTGGCGCTTGCCTAAGTCCAAGTGTTTCGCAGCGTTTACAGCCTGGGCAAGGCAAACGTCAGCTCCATTCATGGCGTCATCATTGAGGCGCACGTCTCGACCTGCTCGAACAAGTTCTTCATGCGGGAAAGCCTCTACTCGAAGCTCAAGTACATAATTGATAGTAAGTAGTGGCAAATGGCACTCCCAGGGGCACACAACTTACTGCTTTTGCTGTGCTTCCAGAGCTGGACAGCCACGAGTACTACATCAGCGAGGAGCAAAAGTCCATCAATGTCTTGTATGCCGGGGGGGCACATCCACGTGGCAGTCCCTTGGGCCTCAGTGCCGCAGCAAATGTCTTTGTTCTGAAGTACATTGGAGCACGGAAGGACTTTCCGCTGGAGCGGCTCTTCAACAGCGTCGTGGCCATGTTTTGTGCCTTTCCCGAACGCGATTACTGCATGATGCTGATCTCAAAGGAAACCAAGTCCATACGCAGCCACGTGGAGGTGTTGAAGTACTTTATGGTGAGGCTGAAGATCACTTTGATATATGATCTGTGATCCGTGTACAACTTTCTCCCACAGCCCGTGGCTTCACGTCCCAGTGAGGTGGCCAATCCGGAGGAGGTTTACATCACACATCGCAGCACAGTGTTCGGAGAGATAAGGTGAGGCTGCATGCTCCTGCCATGCTCCTGCTACAATTATTTCCCACAGCTTGTACGCATTGCAAAAGGAGGACGTGGCTGTGATCCGTTCCCTGGCTGCTGGCAACAGCGAGACCATCTCCAATGACAGCTCCAGCTCGAGCTCGAGCTCCACCTCCAGCTCCCTTGTCAGCAGCTTCTCGCACACCTCGAAGATCAACACGGCCGCCGATTTGGAGCACGAAATCGAAGTGATCAACGCCATCATGAAGGATGTGCTGGAGAACGAGCTGACCGAGTTCGCCGTGTACACAATTCGCTGTGGCAACTCCGCGAAGGCCGCCAGAGAGAACACGGCCATTGGGTTTGTGGTGCTGCGGGAGTTTCGGAATCATCATCATCTGCATTTCCACTACCATCTGCCAAGGCATCAGAATCACTTGAGTTCGCTGCGTGCCGAGATCATTTCCATGCGGCTGCATCCGCTCTTTCTCATCAGCAGCGATCTGATCTTTCGGGATCTGTGCATGAAGACGAGATATCAGGACTATTACTTTATATCCTCAGCGAATGTGGGTCTACAATCTACTCTCTGCCTTTAATGATCATTCCCCCATCCACAGGGCAAACAATTCACGAATGATCTCAAAAAAATGATGACTGTCGTCGAGCCAAATCCCATGAAGAAGAGTTCCATTAGTTCCTTTAGTGTGCCCAAAGAAGAGGACATTTCGAGGGAGTGCGTCCAGCTGCCGGAGTACAACTTCTACCAGGATCACTTGATCATCTATCGCCACAAACTGAATCCCACCAAGTGGTTTGGCAACAGCGAACGGCTCGTCCTCGTTGGGTTCACGGATGTGTGCAAAGCCTTTCTGCGGCAGTTGGTCTTCCAGTGGAACTGCAAGGAGTAAGACATGACTTCCTCTGAGTTATTTATCCAAAGTCAAAGCCAAGGCCAACTCCGCCCTTTGCAGCCACAAGAACTCAGAGACGTACACGTGTCTGCCCCGTGTCCAAGTGACGGTCATCACGCTGCCTGGTGTCGTGGAGGCGGAGTACGATGGCATGTTCCAGTGCCCCTACTGCGGGAACTCGCCCATGTGCTATCTGTGCTTCGAGAACGCCTCCTGCTACGTGCGGGATGTCACCCGGCGCCTGGATCTGCGCCACTGGGTGCACTTTGTGCCGGGCAGGGTGGATTTTGTGGACAGGTAGGGCCGCCTACCTTAGCTTCCCTCTGACCTGACTCTCCTCCGCCTGACTCTCCATCTGCAGGGAGAAAAAGTTCGTGAAGCTGGAGAACAGCTGCGAGATCCACTACGACACTTTGCTGCTGGCCTGCTACAAGGATTTCGCGCTGAGAAACCCAAATCCGAGCCCCGCGACGCCTCAGAAGCGGCCGTGCAACTTTGTGGAGATCAACTCGAGACTGAAGAAGTTCTCGCTGTTCTACAAGCTGCGCGCAATGCTCGAGGAGATCCCACGCACCTACCTGATCCTCATCTACGGTGCCAATCTGCAGACCTACGAGTGCATCGCGTTTCTCATCGGCCACGGGGCGGATCCGTCGCGGATTGTGCTGGTGCAGCCGCGACGCATCTCCGGCATCGGTGCGGAGGAGAAGCTGAAGAATCCCTACTGGGACCAGAACCTGCAGTACATCCTTGACGACATCATCGCGGATGCTGGCATCAAGATTGTGGAGAATCACGACTTTGTGGAGTGGGTGGAGGCGGAGTCCACGCCTTTCATTATGGAGGTGCTCTTTGAGCACTTTCCCAGCAGGCGGCAGACCTCCTTCGACTGCGACCTCTTCATATCCTTCGATGAGGGGCACATGGATCCGAGTGTTAACAAGTGTAAGGCGGAGAGTGTCTCGCAGTGTTCCCAGTTGATCTCAGTTCGATCTCCTGCTCCCAGGGCTCAAGCGCTGTGGCATTGAAATGCGCAAGAACAAAATCCTCGTGGATGAGCAGTTCCAGACGAATGATCCGAACATCTATGCCGTGGGCAAGTTCATACGCATGACAGGCGCCCCGA